TGGGTAGGGACAGAAGGTCTTCAAAGAGCTTGTAACCCATGTTCGGGGTTCTTACTCTGTGTGGAGATCTGTTGTGGAACAATAAAGATTGTGGTCTACTGACTGCTGTTTTGCTCCTGTATTTGGCTGGAACTTCCTTCTTCTGCTAACCACAAAGACCTTCAAGGACTTTCGCCCTGATGAATTGGGCTGTTGAGTATCCTCACATCCCAGAATTTTCCATTTCAGAATCCAGAGCCAGCAGGCCCAGAGTCAACAACCAGCTGCACAGCCTTCCCCAGCTCAAGGGTCAGGTCAGTAGTGGTACATGCTGCACTTTAATCAATGGGAGAGTGGGGGGAGGGCAGCTGGGGCAGATAGACTAGGCAGGCAAGCTCTCCCAAGTCTCTCCCATTCCTTCTCTCCTCCTTGGCTTGAACAGAGCAAGGCAAGCACATGTGACTGGCACTGGCCTCACCCCTCCCAGGCAGAGAAGTCTATCTTTCACACTATCTTTCACACACATCAACAGAGCCTGTTTGTGGCTGCAGCATGCACTGCAGATTGCCCACAGGCAGAGAGAGGCCTTTGGGATCAGGGAAGGCAGCAGTGGGAAGGGATCCTCAGAACTACCCGTAGAAGGCAGGAGGCCAGGCTGCAGGTTGGTAACTGGACCTCATCCTGACTCTGACATTAATGGGAAGGGGGAAACCAGGCTCCAAGCTAACAATCTTTTGCAGAAAATGGAAGAACTGGAATCTGTGTTTATGCTGCATTTTTGGACCCGTGTGCTAGTCATTTTCAAAAGGTCAGCAAAGCCCTTCATAAATCAGACCTGTTATTGAGTTCTTGTTCAAGTTTGTACAGTTCACTTCTGGATTTTTAAAGGAAAATTAGAGATGATTTTGATGAGCTTGAAAAACAAGCAAAAGCCACCTTGCCAAATGTCAACTACAAAACAAGGAGACGAAGAGGGAGGGAACGGCAAAGAAATGACAGAAGTGCACCTGATGCTTTAGATGCGCTTTCTTCAAGAGATAGGTTTAGGATAAAATCCTTTATTCCTATATTAGATGCACTTGAAGCCAATTTAAAAAGAAGTAGTACTGTGTACAGTGATGTTGCACAATTGTTTGCCATTCTTTCTAATTTGACAGCATCTAAACAAGAAATTAAGCAAGGTGTTGAACAGTTGATGGAAGCATACCCAAAAGATATTGACCTGAAACTTATTGATGAACTTTTGCACTTTCACCTGCATGTGACACAATGCCATAGGCCTACAGCAGAGCATTCTCTGTCTCATACAGACCTTTATCAAATTATATACAAGGACAAAATTCATATGGCCTTTCCTAATGTGGAAGCAATCTTGCAGCTATTTCTTTGAGAATTGTTATTTTGGCAGCTCCCAAATCGTTAATCTTTCCCGTCCAGCTGTTATCAAAGAAACAGAGAGAAGCCTCCTTCTAAAACTCCTTGTTGATTTATTCTTAAACAGACTGTTTGCAATGTAGCCATATATCAGATCAATTGGCCTCTGGAATCCAACCAGTCCCCCCTTCGGGCCCTAGAGAGGGGCTGCCAGACATCCATTTAGCCCTTTCTCTCACTCATAATAAAAAACTTTTTTTTGCAAACAGTTATATATATAATATTGTTTCCAGTCTTTCTGACCAACCAACAGTTAGCTCCTGCTTCTCTTAATCAGGGAGACTATTTCAGATATTCCATAAGTGCGTAGTGGGTAGACGCCATTTTGTTCTTTGTTTTCGTCTTTAACAGGCATTTCAAATCTTAAAAGAAAAGCGGCTGTGAATAGGTCCCAATTATATATAAAAGTCCATCTGTACTCACTTTTTGAAGAGCAATTTAGGTTCTTAATGAGGCTTGGCATGCAATACAAATTGGTAATGTTAGAAGAAGAAGAAAAAACATACCAAGCCCCTCCAGATTCCAAACATCATGATGAGGATCTCTTTGAAGTTCGATCTTTTACACCAGAGACTGTACATACTGCAGGTTTTCCCCCAGCTTCGTCAGTTCAGGGCATGTCTGTTTGTTTTTCAAATCTTTATATTTTCCCAAAGATACGTCCGGCTATGGGGTGGCATCGCAGCAGTATCAATCCGTCCTTTGCTCCGTGACCCAGTGCCCCTGCCATCTGCCACATCGGCAATCTAGGGCAAACCGTGGGTCATCGAGACAGTCCTCCCCTGCCCTGGGGAGGCTGCCAGGGCTAATTACCCCCATATCAGCCCTGAATTATCGGAACGGCTGGAGTCCGATCGTGTGGGAGACCGCCATTTTCCACCACCGGAAACAGGAAGCCACTATTTCTTAGCCTTATGGTCACTAACTACTCAGGAGAGAGGAGTTTTTCAAGACTCAAAAGAATTAAAAATGAATTAAGGGCCACAATGTCTAAAGAAAGGTTGTCCGCACTGAGCATTCTGTACATTGAAAGTGACAAACTTAGACAAACAAATTTTGATGAAGTTTTGGATGATTTTGCTATGAGGCAGGCTGGGGGGGGGGGACATTTTAGCCTTGCTGTATTTGATGGTTGTAGTTTACTTCTTAATATGTATTTTAAAACTGACTTTTTAATGACAACATAATGTAGATTCTAAAAGTGCCACACTGTCAGGTAATCATGGTCATATTATTTACACTTCCCAGGCAATATAATTTGTAAACTCAAGGTGTGTTTTTTTTTAAAAGAATAACATTACAACTTCATTTTCCTAAAAATTAATGCTTATACCACAAAAGGTTTACAAAATTGTTATTGCAAAAGTTTTTCCGTGTTAATTTTATGCATTTTTATAAATCACCATGGTATTTAACAATAACATCTTACGTCCTTTACAGGAGAAATTGAGAATTGCAGAATTTTAAATACCCGTCATCATCCTTGGCTTCACTCAATTTTGTTTATAACACTCTTCCATTTTCTTCTAGTCATGAGGGTGGGGGAAGGGGAGGGGCCTCACAAGTGGAGTAGCCTAGGGCCTCTCTTCATCTAAATTCAGCCCTGATGCTATGGCTAAACCACATCATGTCTTGCTACAACTTGATTAAAATTTGGCAATGCCTCTCAGGACCAGGTAAAATTACATTGGAGCAGAGCTGGCCCACAGGCCACCTGTTGATCACTTTTTTCTTAAATCATTGTAATTGGTTTATCTGCAGCAGAAGAGAAAGTCTGAAGAAAAAGACAATCTGGCAACCTTAACATTATTCATTTTCCATCCCAGTGCACATCTTCCATTGTGATTTTAATTATCTACCGTATTTACTAAGTTCTACAAAACATGCAAAGCAATACCAAGCCTTATCTTCTTCTTTTTAAAAAACACCTCTTTTCAAATAATGATTTTTATCTCTTATAGAAGTCTCATTTGCATGCTGTTGAATGCAAAACAAGGAAATTTGTCTTGCCAGGATTTCAAAAGATTATTAAAAAGCATGACACTGATCCCTGCTGATAGTTTTCAATCAGTTTTTAATACACACACACACACACACATATACACACCATGTTAATAAATCAGAACTCAATACACTGAAGATTCCCACAGGTTTAAAGACCAAGATGACTGAAAGGATGGATGAAAATATTTATACTTCTTTCTTCTCGGATGGAAGCATCATGAGCATCAACTGCACTTGTGGGATCTCAAGCAGAAACACAGCAGACCATCACTGATATTATCCTCAGGCATTAGCCATTTTGATGCAGTGCCCATGAAAGGTCAACATGTTGGACTCTTTCAGATCAGCTACAACACTTTTCTTCTGAAGCAACGTTTTAAGACCTATTCTTTTAAATTGGTTATGAGGAACCTGTGGTGCTCCAGATCTTTTGGGATTCCAAATCCCTAGCATGGCTAATGGTTGGGGGTGGTGGGAGTAGCAGGCCAACAATATTGGAAGGGCCTCAGGTTCCCCATCCGAGCCATGGAAACAATTCTGTAATTGAAAGTAGTCATTCAATATAAGGACCTTCCAGTTCCATGGCAGCTCAAGCCTTGCATGGGACGGAGGGAGTGTCCTGACAAAGCAGAGAGCAGATAGGCCCAAGGGGCCCTGCCCTGCTAAGTGAGGAACAGAAAATGTTTTCTCTGCAGGGAGCTAAAGCCAACTGATACCTTACACAGGCCAACCACACATGGAGTGTGGTAGACTCCACTTCCCTGGAGATGCTGGCTGGCTGGTTAAAGGTCCCTCGCCTTATTTTGCAGTCTTTAATTTCTGCATAGCTGGAGAGATAAGACGATGAGTCCCCTACTTAACCACTGAATCAAAGGGTAGTGGCTCAGCAATATTCTCCAGCCAGGAGGCCTCAAATAAGGCACATCAGCCTGGCAGTCAAATTTATTTGTTAGAAACCAGTATTCTTGGCCATTCTACCTCTTCCCCCAAGAAGTAGCCTGAACCTTGTTCTTTTTTTATTCCTCCCACAAACACTGCAATGTCCTTGGGTTGTGGGAAATGACAAGTACAACACAATGGACACAGTTCTTTAAAAACATGTTTTAATCCCACTGAATTTCAATGGAAAAGTTGCTGATAACTTTATTCAGTTGAGATCTGTAGCCCAAGTCGTGCTTTATTTTGCCAGGATCATGTCCTATATAAGGAAGGGAATTTTTTTTTTCATTCTACACTTAAAGAGCATATTACACTGTTGTCAAATAGAGAAGCAGAATATGATCATTCCAATGTTTTAAGAATATAAAAGTTGCTTTAACATGTTTTGATACTCCATCCAATCATCTCTACACACAACTTACTCTGTGGTCATCTGGCAGGTGTTGACCAAACTGCAGGAGGCAGTGGACGACAGGAGTGCTTGGTGTGCTCTGGTCCATGGGGTCACAAAGAGTCGGGCATGACTAAATGACTAAACAACTTAACAACAACATGACCTATACTACTGAGATGTGAACGCAGAGAAAAAACAGTCACTTAAAAGAGGACAGTAACAAGCATATTTTCCTTTTTATTTTTTGCCTACCTTTCGAGAGCTTTGAGGAGGATGGTGCCTGTGATAAACCTAAAAATAAACAAATAGAACTTTTAAAGAATGTAAACAAACTTAAGTCAACAGACATCTTGCTTCTGAAGAAAAATGCAATTTAACATGGAAAATAGCAACAAGCAGGAAAAAGTATCTAATGAAGCCCTAAGCAAACACATATACAGTGGTACCTCAGGTTAAGTACTTAATTCGTTCCGGAGGTCTGTTCTTAACCTGAAACTGTACTTAACCTGAAGCACCACTTTAGCTAATGGGGCCTCCTGCTGCTGCCGGGCCGCCGGAGCACGATTTCTGTTCTCATCCTGAAGCAAAGTTCTTAACCTGAAGCACTATTTCTGGGTTAGCGGAGTCTGTAACCTGAAGCATATATAACCTGAAGCGTATGTAACCCGAGGTACCACTCTACAAGGCATGAAGATAGCAAATTAATTCATAATAAATTAAATAAATTGTAATAAATTAATCACCACCACCATCATCATCTTGAGCTGGATCCTCCTCAGCTCCTGTCAACTTATAAGTTTCTGTATGAACTACATTGATACCTTACATGTAAAATACATGTCCCAAGATGGACCCAGTAGGATCCAGTAGTAGAAAGATGGATTTCCCCTCTTACATACCTGCTGGAAAATAGGAACCTTCATCCCCCTTTTTACTTTCCCAGGCTTTCGGTACGGTACAGACAAGTTACTGCAAATGACCAACCAACTTTTCCTTTAAGTGCTAGTGCACCACAAAATTGCAACCTGTAGCATATATTACTCAAAGGCAAAAATGGATTCAGAACTCATTCAACTTTTTTTGCAGCGAAGGAAGGAAGGAAGACTCCCAAACTACCAAGAAACATGAAAAATGAAGTCTTGATATTCAAAGTGCAGATAAGAATAATATACAGAAGATGTAGGCAAAACCTCTTCCCAAGACTTTGGAGAATCACTGGGAAAATGGGAAGTGGTCTTACTCAAACCAGTGCAGCTCTCTTTCATTTCCTTCATTGGCTCATGCGAGTTCATAGGATACCCCATGACTGCACATCTTTAATACATGAGACTTGCTTTGGTCTCTGACTACGATTCACTTCCAATGGTGGGTCATGGCTGTGGCAGAGGCAACGGCATCCTCCAAGTAGCAACCACACTGCACTCATCAAGATAGGGGTGGGGTTGGGTTAGGTGGCAACAATGATGGGAACTCCAGGTTGGCGACAGTGGTCCCGGAGGTGTGTGCACACCTGTGGGGCTCCCGCCACAACCCTGGGGCTCCCCTGATCTCACTGCCCCCTCACTCTGCCACATCCCTACTTTCTCTCCCCCTGCCCACCCCCCAAAAAAACCCACCACTGCTACCATCTTTCCTACAGATGCAACAAGGTTTTTTTGCTCTAGCTGAAACATATCAGTGAAAACGTATTTCCTGGAAGCCATCTGAGATGTTAAATTATCCACTTGATGAAGCAATTCCAGGTCTACAAGCATCCTTCTACCAATCCTGATAACTATAATAGGAGGAGACTCTTTGGTAGTGGTGGTGGTAGTATAGGAGACTCTTTGGTAGTGGTGGTGGTGGTGGTGCTTGTGGGCTTGCTTATGAAGCCGTTTTCAGGAGGAACAAGCCATGGTTCTGCAATGCTTTCCCCAATTATTTTCCCACTTAATGTTAGCCCTACAAATGAATTCAGGATCAATTGTCTAGTTCAAGAAAGACTCACTCGTGCCACTATTTTCTCTAGCCTTAGACCATGAGGCTGTACAAGGAAGCTCCATTTTTCCTCCCAACTTTAAAAGACTATTAGCTCTTTAAGGCTATGAAAGAGAAAGAGATTCTCTCCAGGATGCACCCACCAAGTACCGCTACTGGAATACAGCAGCTTGATGAAGCCTGCATGTGCAGTTTTTGTATTCCCATCACCCCCATGTTGGCACAATCATGTGCTCACTGGGAGCAGTTGCTACTTGCCCCTGCAGAGTTGCAAGCTGCAAGACTGGCCTGTATGTTCTGTGCCTTAACTCAAAGCAGGAGTAATGCATGACTCCCTAAGATCTCAATTGTCATCTTTGGTCTTTTCATATGTTTTTTTCTTAATAGGAATGTTACTGCATGGACACCCCAGCCTCTAAATTAACACAAAGCTTGAAATGTTGTATTTTAAATTTTGCAAACGTTCAAACAGAACAGTCATTTACATTCTCTCTTCATAAAGAGAACCATCAGTCAAGACGAAAAACTATTTGGCTTTAATTGTGAGGAAGTAATAGATTATTCCTGTATAAATGCTAATCAAGCCTAATTTAGTCACTGCTACTCCCAAATGACACAAATGATGAGAGGCCAAGTACAAGCAATCCTGAGGATACTGGAGGCAACTTTTTGCAGCCACACTAGTAATTTGTGGTTCAAAAGAAAGGGGAGGAGTACCAGTTTTTGTACAGCTTCCCTTTACAATTACCTGGAAGCAATTCTTACTTTGAAATATGCAGGTCTATAACTAACAGTCTGATAACCAGCTCACAGGTGGTACCAACAAATCCCTAATCACTGCTTTTGGGGGGGGGGACTCAGGGGTACCAGCCATTCCCATGCCCACCTGGCAATCTTTGAAGCTATGGCAGAGTGGTCCAGCAGTAAAACTGCTAGCACATCTGCAAAGCTAAGCAGGGTCCGGCATGGTTTCAAATTGGATGGGGAAGTATGTGTTGAGTTTCCTGTGTTGTAGGGAGTTGGACTAGAACACTCAGGGTCTCTTCCAATTCTATGATTCTGTACTTGTTGGTCATGTGGGAATGCCTCACCTGCAAGGGTGCCCTATGTTTAGGGAGCAAGGAGCATCCATTCCCTTTATCAAGGAAGAAGTTAACCAAACTGCCCTTGAAGACTTTCATGGCTCAATTGCAAAAACATATACTCAACAATATTTGGTTAGAAGAGTTTCCTTATATACACCCCATCACAAAGATAGCAGTGTTGATCAACAGCTACAAAACTCTTCACTTAAAAAAGGGTGCTTCTATCATGCAGAACATGTACATAGGCCCATTGAGTTGTTTATATAAGACACTGCCCACCGTTTCAATATTAGGTCTCCCATACTTTTAATAGTTTTATAGATGAAGGAATTTTGGCAGGTACAGATTTCTTATATAATGGTTGAAGAGGTGTATAGAGGTTCAAAGGTTGACTACCTATATCAGGGGTGGGGAACTGCAGGCCCCGAGACGGAATGTGGCCCTCCGGTCCTCTCTATCTGGCCCTGGGGACTCTCCCAGGCCAGGCCAACTCTCCAGGCTATGTCCATTCTCCCCACCCCACACCCATCACCAGCCCTGCTCTGTACCCTCCTTTAGTGCTCTGCCTGCTGAAATGTGCCCTCAAACTCTTGCATGCCTGAATGGAGGACGAAGAGGGCTGGCTGGCTTTTGCATGCTTGGAATGTAGCCCATTGTGCAAAAGGTGTGAATCACATCTGTTGTTCCATCCACTCCCCCCCCACCTCACCCCATGGGCGCGTGGCCCTCAGAAGGCTATCTGTGTCAAACTGAAAAGGTTTCAGTAGAGAATTCGCAGGGGCAGACTTTGGTCTTTTAAATTTCAGTAGCTCCTGTGCAAAGTGAAAATTTGGTGGCCTCCGCCTCTCTCCTTCCATTCTGACTGTGTACTACGCCACAGTTGTGACACCCTGAGGTGCCCCATTCAATTTGGCACCCAGTGGGGGGACACCAGTCATGCTGCTCTAAATCCACTTCTAGAATTGTCAGGGGAAATGTTGATGCTCCTGATAAATAACCATGTGAGGTAGGGAGAGCTGTTCCCCACAGCGCCTCTGAATGAATCTTCAGGTAAAAGCTGCTCACCCACCTCCACCCCTCAGGATTATGGGCCTGGCTGACTGAAGAAAGAAGGTCTGTGCACTTTTATTGTGAAACCTGCAAAAAGCAACGAGTCACCAGGTGGCTTCTCCGATTTCTATCCGATTTCATGAATGAACACCTTCTCACACAATCCACACATGAAATAGCTTAAATACACTCAAAAGGGGTCCAAAATGTGGTATTCCTGCAAAACGTGTGAAAATTCTTCAGCATATGAATTCAAACCTGCACAAAAAATACAGGCTGAGTTGCAGCTGTGAAATAATTTCTCGAAAGCATTCATTTTAATATGGCATTTGCAATCCAAAATGGCTCCATTGCCCTTCTACAGATAAATATTCAAGCTGCAGATTGGGCATGAGATCTGAATTACCAGTAGCTTTAAATACTTCTGTAATATTTCAGGCTTACCCAAACAGATCTGCTAGTTGATATACCAAAGGTACATAATGGTGGAGAGTAACCATGGAAACACTGTACAACTACACATTTTTCCATGGCAACCAGGCCTCCATGGAATACTAATGAGTGACCATGGCAACAGGAAGTTAAAGAGAGGATGTCTGGAGAGCAAAATATTTCATGTATCATTTATAAAAGATTAAAAAAATTGACAACTGAATGTACACATTTGCTTTATACAAATCCCAATTTCTGAAGTAAACAACCACAAAAAACAAAGTCACTAGAATGCTAAGTACCACTTTTATGTAAAATAAAAACAAACAGGAAAAAAAATATTACTGCTGTATTAAACCGGAGTTCTTATGTTTTGATTGAACACAGACAAACATAACAACTTAGCACAGCGGAATGAATTCTGTATGTCCCAAAATTTCTATGAAATGCTGCATTCTGAGCTCTATGGGAAGAGAGCAAAAATTAAAATGAAAGACAACTGGAAAATATTCATATGCCTAAACGTTTTCTGTTTCTCAACTCAACTCAACTCAACTCAAAAGCTGTGTGATGCTTCAGGCCTTTGGCCAACCTTAAGGCAAATGAAATGCAAAGAAAATTGGCATTTAAGGCAATTTTGCAAAAAATAGAGGTGGACAGTGTTAAGGCATCATCCACATTACTGGTCAGAGACAAAAATCACCTGCCATTTATAACATTGAAGAACAACAAAGTGACCTACAGAAATATATATGTCAACAAAACAAAAGAATGTGAAAATTAGCTCTTTGGGGGCAAGGCGACTAAACCAAGTAAGCTGTACTGCTGTCAGGGTCTATGCATGCGCCAGACATACAGAGAATCTTATGCTGGCCTTATCACTCTCTTGCCCTTTCCGCTCTCTCAAGCTTTAGGATAGCTCCCTCCCTTTCTCATTTTTAGAAGTGCCATATGCACAATTAACAATCCATTTTGAAAAGGAAACTTTTCTTAAAAACGCAAAACTATTTTCAGTATAGGTGGGCAGATAAATCAGCTCCGTGATTAAAACCACCTTCCACTTCAAAGTTGAAGAACCATTTCCCAGCCAGAGCTCAGCCCTGGAAAGGAAAACGCAACATCTGAACCGACTACAACTAGGAAACCTCCAGAGCAGACTCTCTGCGAAAAAGAAATGAAATAAAACGTATGTGTCTTCTTCATCCTAACCCCCTTGTTGTTTTATCTACTGTAGTCACATTGGTATGACTTTGATATGTTCCTCTGGGCAAGGATAGGAAATCTGGTACCAGCTGCACTTCCCAGAGGCATTCAAATGCCTGTGACAGGAAGGCTCCCTCCCTCCCTTCCTCCTTCCCTCTCTTTTTGATGTTACAGGGTGTATGCAACACTTTCAGTTTAGATTATGGAGCTGCCAGAAGTCACCTTTTAATTCACAGGTAAAGAGTTTCATCTAAATCATCTGTTCTGGAGCTTGAACAAGAGGGATGAGATACAGTTTGTGGCATCTCATCACCTCCTATGATTTTACCTATCAGGGTGAAATTTCAATCCACGAGGGAAACGATGTGGTCTTGTGACACTGCTGTACAGTGAACTGCCTCCTGCCTTTCCCATGCAGCCAAAGAGAAGAGAAATCTGCTAGTGGTTTATGCCCATTCGTATGAAATGTAAAGCTAAATCGGAACACTCAAACTCCATAGCCACATTTCTCCAAGTTGCTCCAAGTTCAGATATCAAGGCACAAACTTCAGACTGAAGCACACCCACATCTAGGCTTGCCACTTACTTTGCAGGGTGGTGATAATCTCTAGCTATAAGAATGGATAGCTGAGTGAGTGAATGAATGAACCAATGCAAATTTACAACTGCTGTCTCCATAAACCAAGAACTTTTTAAAAATGTAGCTAAAGGAGCAACAGACAGATTGTAACCACCAGAACTATGTTAAACTGAGGCACACATCCTATGGCATGGCCATGGGGAAGGAGTTTCCAGAAGCTGTGGGGAGTAACTGGAAGTTCACTTCACTGTGCATCTGTCACATATTTTGAAACATGAGTGAAGCACAAACCCTTAGGAGCTTTCCCTGTGCATAACTAAATATACACTAATAACATTAATGAGTGAGCAAAGCAGGCATACAGACCGTAGGTTTGAACATACCAAAGCCAGCTCACAATACTCTCTGTGTGGTGAAGAAGCAGACACACACTGACAAATGTGACATGGAGGCCCATGCATTTACAAGATTCATACAAATTCCCCTTTAAGAAACAAACCCCACCTTTTGGGAGTAGTACGTATGCAAAGTGGGCCTTCACGTGGAGTGCCTACCTCACAAACATTATGTGCATGATGGATATGAAAGCTATGCATTGCACTCCCTTCTTCCATGAGAAGGATCACTAGCCTAGTAAGAGTGCAAGTTGGGCTGAAGCTGCTTAGTCCAGCCAACTCTGAGGACATCCTTGCACGTAATGCGAAGCCAGCATGAGCAGCTGAACAAGCCAGGATACGAAGCCATAAATCAAAGCTGGCTTCTTCAGCTGCTCACATGAAGGGAGGAGTGAAGTGGCTTCAAAGGAGCTCCCACGTGATATTTGTGCATATCCTTGCTTAAAAAAAATAATAATTAAAGATTTCTTAGTTTACAAAAATATGTTCATTGTCTGTTTTTTCAAGTTGTGTTTTCTACAGATCATTTTCATATGTTGTGAGACATTGGTGCTGAACGCAGTATTAGGTTGGGAAGAAAAGAGGGGAAGGGTGGAGAAGGTGCATGGGGTGGGATAGGGTGGTAATGCCAGTATTATTCTACTTTGTGTATGTTTGGGGTTTTGTGTCAGTGTCACTTGTGTGGGTTCTCTTTCTATTCGCTTGTTATATTTCCTTGGTGGTGAGAGAGGTAGGGGTGGCCTAGGGGTGGTTGGCTTGGCTTTGGTTGGCTTTAGTTAGATTTGTTTGTGGCAGGGGGGTTGGATTCTTGGGTCAGGTTAGCCATATTGATTCGTATGCTGTTGGCAGATTCTTGTTGTCTTGTTGGGCTACGTATGTGATAAAGGGGAACCATACCGGGGTGAAGGCATCTTCTTCTACTTCATATCCTGGCTTATTAAACAAGCATGTTTAGCCTAATGTTGCATGTGCAAGTGGCCAGAGTGCACCTGACATTTAAACCCAAGGCCACTTAAGCCAAGACCTTTTGCTGCTGGGCCTATGTATTTTGTTACCTGCTCACTTGCATTTTAAATTAAAGCTATGTTTTAAAAATCTAAGCATCCAAGTGGTGGAGTTCTCTAATGAGCCACAAAATTTTCCCTAACCTATACTTGCCCAATCTGGATATGCTGGTCTTCAATGCATTGTGCAGTTTTTATGCCAAGATCTCTCAGATGTTTTAAACTTTCAAGAGTTTTTGCAAAAATGTACTCCACCTTAGAGTTTTTTCTCCTTTCCCAGTGTGAGATTGAAAGTATCTGGCATGTATGCATACATTTAGAAATTAGAGAATTTCACTTAGTCTTTGGAAAACCCATTGATAGGCTTTGAAAACCCATGATATAGTGCTAATTCCTATATTATCTTCTACAATTTCTGAGGATTAGGGACACAGAAGCCATTTGAAAGGGGGGGGGGCTTGTCAATGTTAATCACCTCCACCAGTTTTTTTCACCTCGGTTCATGCACACACAGAAAGAAAGCAGGATGCAAATTAAATTTGAAGAATCTGATGGCAAATATTCAGCAGTGCTCAAGAAGCCAGAAGGGTGGAAAAATACAAGGATCCCATTTTTTTTTTCATGTGAACATCCTCTGTTCCTGTTGTGCTTTTGTACACATATGTAAAGGACTACAGCACCATCTACTGATATTTTACAGATATTGCACTACTATAGTTCTCAGAAAGGTTACTTCAATTAATATTGATGGGGTGGAGCTTAAGTAGAATGGGAATCAGCAACTAGCAGTCAAATCATCAAATCTGATCCTCTGGGGTGCATCATCTACACCCTGTGTAAACCGATCCAGAGGAAGCTAGCCCAGATTCCCCAAAAACTTTAGGGAGGAATTCAGGGACAGAGGGGATTGGGCAACGTTAGGTTTCTGCCCTGGGAGGTTGAACTTATTGTTCTTTACAGTGGAAAATGGTTGAGCCACCTTCACTTCAGCTACATGTGTGTGGAGCAATTAATAGAAAGCTCTGCTTCTCTTCAGCTTTTGGCGAGAGATAGCATATTGAATGACAGCTACCACGGAGTTGAAAGGAGCAAAGAGGGTTGAAGGCTGCGATCAAAACAGCTGATCAGCATATGGAAGGAAGGGTAGAAGAACTGGTTATTTTTGGCAGTGAGCTTTCATCATGTTGCCCCCTCCGTTCTTTCATGATGGCCCTCTGCTTCTGCACTTCCTCACTGGTCCACCCCAATATCATACTGCTTGAAGTGTTCAGAGAGCAAGTGAGTTTACACAGAAGAGAAAGCTCACATTTACAGATCAAGTGTCCCTATTTTCCATGAACAGTCCAAGGTTTACAGAAGCTGTCCCAGTCCCTGACTGGATCCTAGGACATCCCTATTTTCCCTACAGAATCGTTAGAAGACATCTGAAGGCAGCCTTGTCTAGGGAAGTTTTTTAAATGTTTAATTTGTTGTAAATTTTTATGTATGTTGGAAGCCACCCAGAGTGGCTGGGGCAACCCAGACAGATAGGCAGGGTATAAATAATGAAATTATAATTATAATTATTATCGATGAAATGTTGGAGGGTATGCATTTAAGGTAGAATTCTGTGGTGTCTTCTGTAGGTGGTGGGGACGCGTCAAAACTATCTATAGCTAATTTTCAAAAAACTCTTACAGACAAGTATTGGTTAACAAAAAAGCAGGGTTTGTGAGGTATAGTGGTTGGCTACACTAACCCGTTCCCCTCACAGTGCATTTTTAAGGTAAGGACTGTCTGTGGCTATAATGCCCTTTGGCAGCAGCCAATGGGAGTTATCAGGTTTTATTTAGGACGGCCTAGCTTGTCAGGTTAGGCCACCAAGCCAGCAACCTCTTTTCTTCTCCTCTCTTTGCATTCAGCCTGAAGGAAATTTTGTTCACCCACCCAGACAGGCCCTTTTTACCAACGCTAGGCCGAAATCCACCTCTGTTTTCACAAAGTATCCTGCAAAAACAGGATGCAACATTCTTGCTATCTCTCACAGGGAGCAGAGGAAATAGTTTTCTCTTAAATATTTGGACAGGGACTCTGCTTACCTAAAGTATATGTGGTGGTAGAGGGTTCTCTTCTATTTCTTCTACTTTAAAACATCATGTTGTGTTGTTCCAAAACCATTGAAGAATATGGGCCAGTGGGAAGCAGCCAATAGACACTTCCTGGGGTGGCATGGCAGGAACACGTCACATTGCATTGCGTCACTCCATACCCATTAGGAAGTGGCAGCTATGGAGACAGAGAGGGCTTTGTACTGCTTTTGAGTGGTGCCGGGCATTTGTTTTGAAAGGAAAAGGAAAAAATCCCTCTGCAACCTCGCATGGTTAAAGTAAATGTCAGCCTTCGCCCTATCCATTCTCCAAATATTTTGGAGAAAATTCTCTTTGCCCTTCCCCTCCAAGTTTCATGGGTGCTTCAGTCTTGCCCGAAACACTCTGCAAATTGTAAAAAAGGAAGGAAGAGAGGAACCATTTTTGACCAACACTTGGGCCATTATGGACATGCAGGGAGACAACTGTGGCTGATGCTGATCACCACAGCATCCTTTCTTCTCATTTTTAAAAGATGTTATAGCCAGCCAAGCATGTACATGGTTACAGATGCTCTTTGTATTTTTTTAAAAACTTTAAAATATTAAATCATCTTGTTTTTACAGCAAAATGGTGCTTGTTCAAAGTGTATTTGTTTATTATTTATTACAAGTATTTATATACCACTATTCATTAAAAAAAACCCAGAATGGTTTACAACAGTTTTACATGAAAGCATATAAAACTTTAAAACCAGAAATCAGCTACCGGTAATTATTATGGAAAGATATTGTCTTCATTGCCTGCAGGAGTCTGACGGAGTAGAAAAATCTTCAGCAGGCATTTAGAAGTTGAAACAGAAGGTCTATGCAGAATCTCTATTGGTACAGGGAAGTTTTTAATGTTTGATGTTTTACTGTGTTTTTATATGTGTTGGAAGCCGCCCAGAGTGGCTGGGGCAACTCAGTCAGATGGGCGGGGTATAAACAACAATGGCAGTATTCCACAAGACTGGGTTGATTACATTAAAAGGTTAGTTTCTTGTTGCTATCAAACAAACCTCACCAACTCAGGGAATATGTGCAGCAGGGCACCAACATTAGGGCAGCAAACACAAACTCAATTTTATTCTTGTAGTTATAATGATGGTATGATGAGAGTTTAAAATGCAAAAGCGCATATGCTCAGAGTGCTCCTTTTTTCAGGGTTTATAAACGCTTTTTTGCTCTAATATATCAAGGATGTAGAAGCAGTTGTAAAGCATGAAATTGTTTGAAGGTGGCGGGGGGGGGGGAGAAATGTTAATTGTGCGCTTCGCAACAGAACACACACACACAAGACATCTAAGGCCATTAAATCCAGGGTCTAAAATTGCCTGGCCGCACTGCTTTTGACAAGAGCTGCCATAGATTTACCTGGAATAAGTCTCACTGAACACAATGGGACTTACATCTGAATAGATACGCACAGTATTGCAAGTTTCGAAATGCATTTGTTTCCTCTCCATTTAGCAGTAAAGGATTTCGTTTCCATGGGCCATTTGGCTTACTGCATTTCTAAATCTAACCAGATAACAATGGAGCCGTTACTAAAACACAGCAGACCGTATGAGCCTACCTTATTTTAAGCATAGTTAGCTCTGTGGATATTTGCATCTCATATACTAGTAAACCATTCTGAACAACAGACAAAAGCATGCTCAAAACACACACCTATTCTGGCACAGGAAAATCCAATGCAGGGTAACTTACTTTGAAATTATTATAATACTGATGACCTATTGTACCAAATATGCAGAGGTGTTCTTAGAATTTTATGAATAAAAACAGCAAGGTTAAAAAACAAAAAAAGAGGTTTCGGTTTCCAGTAGTGCAAAACCTTCAATACTTTTCAATCCAAACCTCCAGTACCTTTTACAGTAATTCATGACATATGCTCTGATCAAAGTACCTAGCGAACGGTGCAGCCGAGATTATTGTACTTACATCAGCAACAGGTGCCATAGCAAGAACAAAAGGAAAGTCATAATCTTAGATAATACCAGAGCAAATGGGGGGGGGGGAGGACCTGTAGTCATCCAATATAGCAGCCTCAAGTTTAAACATTTTCCAATCCGTTCTCTATGTCTTTCAGACAGAAAGCTTTTCATGGATGTCATGCTCGAGCGCCAAATTCATCTATGCGCTTGAAGTGGTGAGCAAGCGATGAGATGACAACAGCCGCAGGTGTCCCAAGTTTACTTTTGTCTGCCAGGAAGTCATATGACTTCCCTTAGTTTCCTATTAGTGCTTTGATTGACTTTAGTTCAAGTAACTAAGGTCAAATGTTCTAAAGAGCTGCTGGGAATGGAGGTTAAAAAGGACACACCCCTGACCTGCTGACTCTTAAAATGTCTATTGAATAAACTCAGCCACATGAATATACATTAGATGCATAAATATGGTGCACCATATGCATACTTAAGGGAGGAGACTACTTTCCATTAACATGTTTCCTCTGGTTACTTCTCAGTTTGACTACTGAAACACTCCACAGGAGGCTGCTCCTGAAGACTGCCTTGTGCAGGCTGCAGAGAATGTGGAACAGCTATACTCTGCAAGTTAATACCCTACTGATGAGATACTGCCTGAGGCAAAGTTATCCTCTACTATAAAAACAGGGCTTTTCCAGTGTCAGCATATAGAACCATAGAAATGCAGAGCTGGAAGAGACCCTAAGGGTCATCTACTCCAACTCCCTGCAATGCAGAAATCCCAGCTAAAGCATCCATGACAGATGGCCATCCAACCTCTGCTTAAAAACCTCCAAGGAAGGAGAGTCCACAACCTCCCAAGACAGACTGTTCCATCAACAGCTTTTACATGATCTTTAGGAGACCAGTGAGCCCCTTCTTGTTCAATGAGACCTTCAGAAGGCTGGGTCTTCTCTTCTGCAAACAAAATACAATTACTGCTGTTGCGTTCGTGTTTCTGTAAATTGCTTTTAATGAGCTGTTTTATTACTATTGAAACTGTCAGCCACTTCGAAGGCCTCTGTGGCAAAAAAAAAAAAAAAAAAAGGCAGCCCGTAAATTTTAATGCACATTAAATAAGTCTGCTTAATGTATAAAGATATTCTAGCCCTAAGGGCATGCAACGTGTTCATTAAATTTGCAAAACAAAGGGTAATTTGTGGAATTCCCAGATAATATCCCAAGGTTGATATGAGGAGCCTTGCTAATGGTGCTTCAGTTATACACAATACTAAGAGTTATGGACTGAACTACAGGATACCCTACTTCTGGAATTAGAGCTGGCGTGGTGCAGTAGTTATTGACTGCCAAGCTAGAACTGCAAAGACCATGTTCACTTTGAGCCATCCATCGTCATTCAGCCTAATCTACCACACAGGGCAGTTTTGGCAATAAGCGGGGGGGGGGGGCAATGTATGCTGCCATTGTGTTAGCTACAGTGGTTTTCACAGTTCATTATATGCCTTTGTGTTAAGATACAGAAAGCTACAGTGAACCAAGTTACCCAACCCCCCCGAATATATTGCTAGTAACTGCCACGATTCTTATGCTCGCTACCAAACCAGTTGGTTTGTGGCTGCCTTATTTCAACACCACCTTGCTATATGAATCAGCCTTAAGTCTGGGAATCGCTTGGGGCAAGATTATGGATGGGGAGATCTGTACAAGTGTGCACCTCTATTTCTTATTGCATCATCCCAGATTGAAAAGCAAAACTGTGACTATAATAAAACTCTAAACAGCATATTCAACATTTCAATCTCTACCTCAGTTTGCTCACCCTCTTCTCTACATGCACATTGGCACTAAATTCAGCAGCTCCCTTCATAGCAAAGCTTAGCCCCCAAGGCACAGCAAGCAAAGTTGTGCAGCCACTTGTTGGGTCCTAAAAAATGTGCTGTGCCTCTCCCTCATCTGTTTTCAATTAGCCTTAGCTTCAACACTCAACCTGCCTCACCAAATCTAAAGGGGGTCTCTAGCTAAAAATGCAAAATTTATTTGCCCTCCCTTTGCAAAACAAGCGGCTGTATATTCTCTCGTGAATCTCCTTAGTAAAGTCATTCAAGATTTGACTCCAAAGACACAGTAGACAAAAGATATCTTTCAAAAATTAAGGTGGAAAAATGTTCTGCATACACTTAAAATGCAAAACTGTGTGTATCTTGAAAGAGGGGATTGCTTTGATTCTCCTGTTAATTAAGAAAGTTACAGAAGCATAACATTACTTAGTTGAAAATAATTTAATAACCTCAGGGGGCCACGAGTGGGCGCATTGGAAGATGGCCGACAATACCATCTCTCCGACCCACACGGGGTAATTAAGAGGCTGTTATGGGAGTAGGCAGCCTCCCTTGTTGCCCCAAGGAAATGGGGAACACTGCCCTTGCCTGCTGTACCCATAAATCATCCCCTAATTCGAAAGAAGGGGGTGAGGGCCCTAGGCAGAATGCCCCCGTGTGGACATCGGCTCTCCTGGACGCTGTCTCTGATCGCGCACTAGTTGCAGCAATTTGGAATAATTAATTACAAAAGAAGCAAATGCACATATTTCAAGTGAAGAAGGGGAGTGAAGTCTGTTAATTTAAGTGACCTCTGCGAAAGAAGACGACGGGCTGGAGAAACAGGAATATTTTACGATGAAGATAGACCAAAGGAGGGGTATGTTGACAATGGGGCTGAATGGGGGGGGGACCTTTTTTACTTTCCTTCTGTGTGATTTACAAGAACCCCCCCTCATTAGAACCGTCGGTTGAACTGACCCAAGCAGGATGATTAAGGTCTGTGTGGAGATAAACTTTAACCAAAAGTATGCTTTATGGAGACCGAAAAGCAATAAGAGCTTTTGGGAATGGCACAGCAATTAATTCGGAGTCGCCATCTTGCCAAAGGAATTATAGCCGGGAGGAAGAACGGATTTGTTTTCAGACTGCATTCCTAGTGAATCTCCTCAGAGGTTTTGAGAAAAGGAGGCAGATTGGTGAAGATTAATGATGCTAAGACTGTTTTGATGTATGGAAGTGATGTTATATGGAAAATGTCTGGATATGGCTACTGGATAAAAAAAATAATATCCACGCAGGATTACAAACTGTTCTAACCAGCTTGCGGAGACTATCAGAGGTCACAAAGAGAAAGGAAAAATATATGAAAATAACAACAAGAGATGTGGAAAAATAATAGGAAAGGACTGGATAGTACTGTGAACATAATAAGGTTAGATTTGTGGACATTAAAACAGCAGTAAGAAGCAAGAAGTTGATTGGATCCCTTTGGAACTTGAAATATGGGTACCCCCAACAAAAATTTAAAATTCGGCTGTGTAATTTGGAATTTATGTAATTTGGTTTGATTTGATGTGATTGGTCAGTTAATAAAAAATTATTCTTAAAAAAAAGAAAGAAAATAATTTAATAACCTCCTAATTCTTATTTTAGCTCGTGGTTTCAGGCTTTCTTTAAAAAAGATTGCGCATCATCTTCATTTAATCAATGAGTTGTACAGGCCTTTAAAACAGGAAGGTATGATTTATCTCCCCTGCCCAACTCTCCTTTTTATCATGGTCACACAAGACTCTTGGCATTACTTTGTTCCTTAAAAATAAAATAAAATCAAGTTTCATCAAAGTTTTCAAAATGTTAAGAAAACGAACAACAAAAACATGCCATTGCTGATGGGAACTCATGGGCAGAGGCATCTTATCACTTCCAGCTTAGGCACAAATGGAATTTATGGAGTGTACAATGACCGTATCACCCAAACCCAGAATTGGCTTCCTCTAACACATACCTACCACATGAATATGGCTTTCCGTTTCCTCATATCCATGCCAGCGTAATGGATACAAGGTGTTATTCCTACAGGAGAGTTTCATTCATGTCCATTGCCACTGGAGAAGCAATGTGAGGCTCAAATCTTGAATTCTGATTTAGACGGTCTGGGGGGGGGCGGGTTCACTCAGATTTGCTCCTAGTTTAACTCATTTAGCAGGATTCAAAGGTCCCCATCCTATGCAAACTTCAAGTCTTTGGTAATGCCCGTATTACCAATTAATAGTGTGTACTAGTAGTTATCTGTACATAAGGACTGTTTATGTTATATGATTTTGTTTTCTAAGTTTGGTAATGTTGTTTTTAAAACTCTCCTCTACACCGTGAAACAGTCCACTCTCATCATCTCATGTTTCTACCAACACATTCACCCTTGATCTCTCAATTGATTTGTTCCAGAACCCAACCTATGTAACTTATACATGTTGCAGAATTTCCATGGACTGTATGATTTGCATCTACAAGGGGGACGGCTGCATATTTGCAAGTTTCTCCATGGGCAACCACCCCCACCAAGTGCAAGGGAAAATAATCCTAGTCTAGGTGCAGAATTTACCCACACCTAAAAGGCTCCTGGGAGGCTGGAGGGACATTGCTGCTGCTGTGAGGGCTGAAAGGAAGACCCCCACTGCTGCAAGGCCTATTTCCACCTGGCCTAGGGGGTGGGGCCCAGACTCACCTTGAACAGATAAAAGAGGCTCCTGGGAGGCCAGAGGGACATTACTGAAACAACTCTTGGGTTGGGGCAACTGGCAAAAATGTTTTACAATGTTTGAACAGTTCTAATTTTGGTTCCTCTGGTTTGTTTTTGTCGGGTTGGGGTTGGTTAAATGTTTAGTTGGGGTTGGCGGTTATTTTAATTTGGGTATAAGTGTAAACTCTTATTGTTGTTATTATTGCTTTCTATTGATTTATTGGTTTGTTTGTTGCCAGTATAGGACATTCTGTTTCTTAATGTTTGGTGTTTTGTTGTGGTTTTATTTATGTTGTAAGCCACCCAGAGTGGCTGGGGAAAGCTGTCCAGAGTGGCTGGGGGCAGAGCCTCAGATATGTATTGATTTTTACTTATGGAGGGGCAGCTGCCCCCCTGCCCCCCTTGGCTACGTCCGGGGGGGGGGCACAGGAAGGAAAGAAGGTTGGAAGGGGGTCACAGTCAGAAAAAGGCTGAGAGCCTGATGGTCCTGCTCCTGCCTCTCTCCACCTGGCCTAGGGTGGGGCCTGACAGGCTTCCTAAGGACTGCAGGGAATGGAGTATTTTGGGGAAAATTTTGTTGGGAGTTTTTGCTGCTGTTATTGATATTAATTTTTTGTATCTTTTTATGTGGAAAATGTTCAGTTTGGTTATGTAGTTTTTGATGTGTTTTATTTTTATGACTACTTTGCTATGTTTGTAATTATATAAATCTTTTCATATTGTAAGCCGCCTTGAGCATTGTTTTAACTGTGTGAAGGTGGCATGCAAAGAAAATTATGATGATGAAGAAACACTGATCTAGGGAACATGAAAGTTTAAGTGCTCCTTTCTTGGAGTTGCTTTTATGAAATGTTCCAAAAGTGTAACTTGTATTTTTGAATGTATGGTGGGTTGGTGTTTTTTAAGTGAAAACCAATTATTTTAAAAGGTGCAGTAATAAGCCCAGGCTACACACAAGAATTCACTCAAATGGAGTGGTGGGTGCTATGATGAAAATTGCAGATGTGTAAATGGGTAATGCTCACTGGAAGGACAGATCATGAATCTGAGGCTCCAATACTTTGGCCACCTCATGAGAAGAGAAGACTCCCTGGAAAAAACCCTGATGTTGAGAAAGATGGAGGGCACAAGGAAAAGGGGACGACAGAGGATGAGATGGTTGGATAGTATTCTCGAAGCTGCCAGAATGAGTTTGACCAAACTGCGGGAGGCAGTGGAAGACAGAAGTGCCTGGCGTGCTCTGGTCCATGGGGTCACGAAGAGTCGGACATGACTAAACAACAACAACAAATGGGTAATATACAACTAACTCACACTTAGAGAAGACTCATTGATTTAACTGGATATACTCCAACCAGGAACCATTTTGTTCAGTATCTTAAATGGATTTTTCAAATTACACAGCTATGACTGGGTTCTTGTAGTCTTGGGACTTTTGAAGTGAGGGGATCAAAATCCTGATCCCTTGTTACGTTGCTTATCTTGGAAGGGCTTTACCAATTTATATGTCATTTAGATAATAAAGAGTAGCAGGTACTTTGATTTAGTGGCTCCAGCAATGTATTCCAACAAACAGGAGCTTCCCCACTAATTTCTACAAGACAGATAGATCCTATTCAAAATGCATCATACTATTTGTGTCCTTACACCACAAATTGTTCTTCAAACACAACCACACTGCTGTTCCTGTACTACTGGTACTATAGGGCTCCACTGTCATTCTGCCAATGACATTTGGATTTAGCCAAGTTTCTAAGACATCCATTGTATCAATAGCCACATTTAAACTCACAGGCTCCCAGGATGTGTGTGCAACCACTATTACAGTACTTTAGTTACTTACTTACTGATGCACATGTTTAAAGAGAACTATTATAACGTAAGAGAGAATAGAGCTTTACTAGAATGCTCAATACTAGAGAGGTGGATTTTGCCTTCCATGTATACAGTCTGCAAAGGACTACAGCGCCAAATCTGTGTTCTTCCCACACCTGCTGGCTTAGCTGCTATTTAATTAAATGCTCTTTGACCACTTCGCTTTATACACCAATGCTATGATTTTCCTTTCGTTGAGTTGCACTGTGTTCTGTAAGAGAACAGTTCCATCAGTGCAAGCATTTCTGGTTCCCTGACAGAACAATCTACCAATGCCCTCCCCACCACGACATGCTATGCTGGGAACTACGGCGGAGCTTCATGCTCCGGCACCGGGGGGCAGAGAGCGGGCGGGGGTGGTGCACCGCCCGCAGGGGCATGGTGCATGTCCTGGGGGCAGGGCACGCCACCTGCAGGGACATGGCACCCAGTGCGGGGGGGGGCAGCTGCGATGGCACCCCACCAGGATTGCACTGCTGGGGGCGGTGAGCTCTCCCTGCACTCCTCTTCCTCTGCCAGTGTCTGGGGGTTTTCCCAACCCCTTTCCCCCAGCAGATTTGGGGAGGTCATGGGCAACACACAGGAGGAGAAGTGAGGGAGAATGCCCCATTGCATTAATGGGAATCATGCTAACTTCTGCTACTGCAATGAGGTAGTTGGATATGCTCCTGTAAGACTGATGCAATTAATTTATACATTAGCAAATGGCTGCAACTACCCTACTCCATACACATGGGATGTTATAGCTATTAAAAAACTTCGCAAAGAAACTGAAAGTAAAATTCATTTGTCGCTGATTGAATTTGAAGCTAATCTTACAGTTTCAACTGAAAGACACCCTAGAGCTTCTGGGCAACAAGCCAACACAATATGCTTTATCACATATCCAAATCTTTTCTTTCTTCTTCTTAAGGGGAAAGGTTTTGTTTAGCACCACAAGCAGTGTATAAGTACATTATATTTTGTGTCTTACCCTTGAGACCCAAATCGTGTAATTACAGCACAGTTCAAAAAGCAGGAACTATTCAACAGTAGCTTGTCTACCAATGGAACAATCTAATAAAATGAGGCCTTATGCAAAATGAACCTTAAGATATATTGAATGGGTTTCAGCGCACACTAGACCAAAAGACAGTGGTATATCAATGATAGTTGAAGAAGAACTGAGTTATGTAAGCATAAGGTGGCAAAGGATAGGTAGAAATTTCCTGGACAATGGCTTCACGCAACTCTTAAAAAGCATTATTTGCAACAAACATTTTTGTCAACCTGATATAGACTGCAGAGGAGAAATAAAAATGTGCTGCATTGCAATATATTCTTTTACAATGGCGAGCCATTTTAAGCCTCATGTGAAAATGTTTGCATTGTTATAGGCCAGTGATAGATCCTTTGCATTACCGGGGCCACCAGCTATTGTAATAGTAACATATCCATACATCAGTTGGGTTTGCACAATACTTCAGGACTCTGCTCCAACCTTATATGTGAAGCTAGCATGCTCACCTGCCTCTACCATCTATACCAGGCTACCCCATCCAAATGGAGCCTATGTATGTACAATCCCATGTACATGGACCAACATCATGCAATCCAGGAGTCTGCCATCTGACTTTGACCTACACACAAAGGATTCTATGTGTGAAGGTCACCTTGATGGGATGGGTCATCCCCAAGGAGGCGTGATCAGCCCCCCAAGTCCATGTGCAGGGCTTGGGGATGAAACTTCATAAATATCATCCGAAGTGGTCCATTGTTTCACTAAAGGCAAAACTGGGTGACAATTTGCTACCAAACAAAGCTCAAGATTTTGTCATTTGTATACAAAGCTTTAAACAACTTAGAGCCTGCCTCTTTAAGAAACTGCCTTCTTCCAGTGACTGAGGTCACTGGTAAAGGCCTTCCTGCTGGTGCCACTCACCTCCAAGGTTCATTGGACAACTACTTGGAGCAGCACATTCACTGTGATGGCACCCACATTATGGTGCATACTCCCTTCTGACATGTGTGGCATGTGATGTGTCCCCCCCCTTTTATTTAAACATTTATTCAGACAAGTCTTTGAGGAGTAACAACATTGCCTTTCATTCTCATTTTGTATGCCCTTCAGATTTGTGCATTTCTTTGGTATTTTATACTTTCTTCTACTTTTAATATGCTGCATACCACTTGGAAATGTTTTTTTCTGCAAATTATCATTTTTAAAAAACCAATAAATAATTGAAGGGGAATAGTGAGTAAGTTGGATCCAGCGGTATGCAATGTTAGGGTTGAAGCCATTGTGCTTTCATACTACAGTGGTGCCTCGCAAGACGAAATTAATTCGTTCTGTGAGTTTTTTCGTCTTGCAATTTTTTCGTCTTGCGAAGCACGGTTTTAACGGGTATTAACGGTTTTAAGAAAAAGGAAACAAACTTGCAAGACGTTATCGTCTTGCGAAGCAAGCCCATAGGGAAATTCGTCTTGCGAAGCAACTCAAAAAACGAAAAACTCTTTCGTCTTGCGAGTTTTTCATCTTGCGAGGCATTCGTCTTGCGAGGTACCACTGTATTTTGGTCATATGTATGACCTTCTACCTCAGAGTGAGCTCAGTTGAAACCTAGTGTTTCAACTGATAGGCTAGAACTTGATGAAGCCACTAGCCTACTTCTCCATGAAGCAGCTTTTCAACATTAAAAGGAAACACTGATTTTGCTTCTTTGTAAGAATGAAGCAGACACCTGCATGAAACATTGGGCAGGGCAAGGCATACTGCTGTGTGAGCATCTGATTTGCTGGTCAGTATATCTGTCAAATGTACCGTGATGACAGGAGGGACGTTGTGGGATAAACCATCAGCAACCAAAGAGTGAAAGGAGCATACTCACACAGCCAATGCCCACAAATTAACTTACACCACTAAGAACAGAGCAGAGAGTGAAGCATTGGGGTACAACCCTAAACACCTGAAGAACTGATAGCTTCGAAAGGATCCAGTAAAATGAGACAAATCATGCCAATGGGAAAACTAAAGCCAGACAGAAAACTCATTCCTATGACCCTATAACATTGCAACCTTTGACAAATAGAAGTATTTTGTGGGTATTTATTAGCTTCGTGTCAAATTGTATGAGGAAATGTCATCCCCGCTTCTGACATATGCCTCACCACCTTTCTGGAAGGGCTTCTCATTTGTAGTAATTGTGGCTCAGACTTGCAATTGATTAATGTATTTTAAGACTGTTGACACTTTTCTGTATAGCAGAGAGTAGAAAAACAGTAAAACAAGATATATAGTGAAAAGATGTTGTCCCAATTTCTTTCAGGCTACAATGATTTCTTGTGGAGAAAGAGAAAAACAAAGATGGGCTTGTTGATATTTAAAACCTTAACAGTATCTTAAATACTGTTATCGATTACTTTTCTGAAATATACACACCACAATTATTAAAAGGAGATATAAACCAACTTTTGGCACCAAGGATGGAGGTGAGGAGCAGCTTTAATCAGAATTCAAGGAAAGTTGTGATTAATTCCAGAAAAATGCATTGTTTATACCAGATACAATAATGGACTCAAACCACACCATAAAGTTTGATAACCAACCTGAAGTGAAGAGGAAGGAGAAGTACATATTGGAAACAAAAACAATGTTATATTCTTTCACCAGGTATTAAGTAATTTGTTATACACAAGCAATACCCACAAAAAGTAGAGCAGCCCGCACACCAGCAGGGCGACTGGTTTCTTTGGACTACTAATACAAAACACAGTTTAAACTAGTGAACTTCCAGTACCAGTGCAAGAAATCTTGTCCATTTAGCTTTAAATTTATTCACTGCTAATTCCCAAGAAGTGGATTTTCCCACTTGGCGCACATCTATGCCACATACTAAAAACTGGGTTCATTATCATTCTGTTTGAAGTAATTCAAAGGATGCCTCTATTACACTGTATTTTTGCAAGATGGTCCTTCAAGTCCCACGTCAAAAGCAATGGGAATATATCCAGGCCACACACAAAGCGGTTTGTGTGTGAGGTTCGCCTCACTAAAAGGAAAGATATCCCCCTCTTGTCCCAAAGATTCAACTGTGGGTGCTAAAATGTGCAAGGGATGTTCTCAGCTTAAACAGAAAGACTTGCCTGACAGCTGAAACTGATTCGGTTCAAGGCACAACATGGGAAAGTCAGTTGACAGGCGTGCTAACCCAGTCTTCAGAGTTTGCCTCCAGATTTTAACTCAGTCGGGACTGTCAAACAACACTCAGAAGCATTAACAGGCCCTCTGATATTGTGACCGTGGTCCACAGAACATGGACCACATTCCACACAAATTACTGAACAACATTCAAAGTTAAATCCCTGTTGTATTTACTAAACCCATTCACTAACATTTCAGCTTCCTTATGCATTCAAGCACACTGCAAGCACAAGCAAGGCAGCAATGAGAGTTTCTCAGTCCCATCATATGCAAGTTTATTTGCAAGCATGTCCAACTGAGATCAAAGGAATTTCCTTTCAAGTAAGTTCTTATTGGATTTGCCACCATGCTCTCTTCAGTTAGGAGTATCTTCACCTCCCAGGCAAGCGATGCTGTTGACAAGGCTTACCTGAAGCTACAGGTGCGATTGCATTTGACACAGAGCCAGCAGGTTCAAAGAGAACTACACCCACTATTATGTTATAAAGAGCACAAAACTTCTAACACAGAGATTGACAGACTATAGACCGCCAATGTGGACCTCCAGCCTATTTCTGGTAGGTAGCCTAGCATCAGCTTAACAGTGAAGAGAACCTGCTCCAAAACAAACACTGGATTGAATGGACTTTAGGATGACCCAGCAAGACACTTCCAGAATACACTCTCTTAAGAATTTGGATCACTTAACACAGTTGAGTATTACTCAGAATAGACCTGTTGAAATTAACAGACTTCACTTAGCCATGTTCATTAATGGGCTTACTCTGAGTAAAACTTAGTTTAATACCACTCATAGATTTGGATCTCTTGTCAGTTAAGCCATTAACTCTTGCTCTTAATTTTATTTGTGAAGCACATGGATACTAATTAAAAGAAAGTAGTCCCTGCTAAGGCTAAGCCAAAACTAAATTTTATATAGCTTTAATTCTATCAATGGTGAACTGCCTTTTTAAAAAAATGACTGTTTTGTTTTTTATGTTTTTAGCTGGTTCTTCTTTTTGTCTGTAAACCGCCTGGAGTCCCTCAGAGGAAAAGGTGGGGCATAAACAAATAATCCTATCCCAGTCCTCGCTTGTTTCCTTACTTCAAACCCTTCAAGCTCGCAGCAGGACAGGATTTTTTTCATGTAGGGGAAACCTGAGAACCCGCTTCCCTCCTCACGCTGCCTCCTCAATGGGAAGCAGGACCCGCCGCCGCGAACGGCGGGACTCGGTCCCGGGATGAGGGCGCGAACCGCCTCACACGCGGCAGTTCTGTCTCTCCTCAGAAGCAAGCCTCGTGGGCTTCCGCGCGGCTCCCGACAGGCTTGTAGCCCGAAGCGCGCTCGCCTCAGGTGCGACCAACGCCTCGAGTCAACCCTCGGCTCCTCTGAGCGCAGCACGGAAAGGTCACTGCGCTTCAGCTTTTCTTCCCGGAAGGCGGCAAGAGACAGAGAGAGAGAGAGAGAGAGAGAGAGAGAGAGAGAGAGAGACGCAGAAGAGGGAAAGTTCACGAAGAAACAGGAGGGTGGGGGGAGAGGGGGGAAAGGGCCGCCCGGTGGCTCACCTGGTCCAGTTCTCGGGCATCCCCGCCTGGAGAAAAGGCGGCGGAGGCAGAGGAGGAGGAGGAGGCCATGTTGCAAGGCTCTCTCTCTCTCTCGCCCAGACACACCTCTTTATCCCGTGGAGCAAAGGAGAGGCGAGCAGGAGTCCAGTTCGGCCGAGCTCCCTCACGGGCTGCGCGCAACTTCGCTCGAGGAAGTTCTCCAAGCGCGCTGCCGGGTTACCTCAGCGCGCGCGCCGCTCTCTCCCCTCAGGGGCCGCCAACAGGTAAAGGCAGGAGCCTGGGAAGGCGGGGGGGGGGCGGAGAGACCCGCCGCAAGTTCCCAGCTCGTTGGCCCCGCCCTCCCCCACACCAGAGAGACCGGGAGGCGGGGCCCGGCCACGCCTCGCCACGCCACGCCACGCGCGGCGCCCAGGTGAAGGGTTCGCCCAGGTGGGCTGGCAGCCGGCGCGCGGAGCGTTCTGGAAGGGGAGGATTCTTTGGCTTTGGCACAAGAGCGCGGAGGAGGCAGTGGCCGGGCTTACTCCTGACTGACTATTGGATGCAAGGCACCACCAACCCCTTCTCTGGGATAGGTGGTCTGGGTTCAGTTTCATCCTGTCAAAAGTCCACCTCAAAAGTACCCGCGCCGGGTCCAGTGGGGGGGGGGCAGAAGCAGAGAGATCCGCGGCATAAAGTGAATTTCAAGAGAAGGAGGCTTTTGTCCCATGCCTAGGAGCCAACTCCCAGGGGCCGAGGTCCCTTTGCCCCCTATTAAATGTTTGAGTTGACAGGCATTGCCATTCAAATGGTGTGCATGTGCCACATCACGTGATTGATTATGCCGGGTGGGGCTCACCTGGGCCCCTCCAATCTTTTATTCATGCTGGCACCCCTGGTCCCACATGTTAGATTTCTGGAAAAAGAAATAAGGAATTGTTCACATTAACACTTCTAGCCTAAACATATTTTCTTACACCGGCCCTCTTGACTGGGGGGGGGGGGAGGTAGAGTTAACTTTCAAGTCAGCATGCTAAGACAGCAGTTTTCTTTTAATTCCTAGTTTATGATGCAAGCTGACCATCCATATGGTAAGGGTCAATTTTTAAATGTTTGTTGTTGTTTAGTCGTTTAGTCATGTCCGACTCTTCGTGACCCCATGGACCAGAGCACGCCAGGCACTTCTGTCTTCCACTGCCTCCCGCAGTTTGGTCAAACTCATGTTCATAGCTTCGAGAACACTATCCAGCCATCTCGCCCTCTGTGGTCCCCTTCTCCTTGTGCCCTCCATCTTTCCCAACATCAGGGTCTTTTCCAGGGAGTCTTCTCTTCTCATGAGGTGGCCAAAGTATTGGAGCCTCAGCTTCAGGATCTGTCCTTCCAGTGAGCACTCAGGGCTGATTTCCTTCAGAATGGAGAGGTTTGATCTTCTTGCAGTCCATGGGACTCTCAAGAGTCTCCTCCAGCACCATAATTCAAAAGCATCAATTCTTTGGTGATCAGCCTTCTTTATGGTCCAGCTCTCACTTCCATCCCATCACTACTGGGAAAAACATAGCTTTAACTATACGGACCTTATGTTATGTTATGGTTTAGTTATATGCTGGATGGAGGGAGTAGTGAACAGCATATTTTCCGCAGGGGTCCAGCAATGGGGCAAAGGGGGAGGTAAGGTACATGGGGGGGGTGCTCACCAAACCTCATTCTTCCTGACCCTGCCTATGTCCCTTAAACATGTTTACATTTAGATTTATTTCCAGAGTCACACGTACACAATCCTGTACGCATGTCTTTGTGAGTAAGCCCCAACTCAGCTAGACTTGGGTTTCTGAGGAAGTATTGGCCAATCAGGCTGCAAGCATACTTTCCTGACTTGGAATAATGTCCTGTTTGAACAAATTGCTCTTCCAAGTAGAAGTATTTTAGATCAGTGTTAGCAGCTGTTTGACCAAACCCGTATCAGCAGATTTTCTCCAACCTTTCATGTTACTACTACATAAAATGTAGTCTCTTGACACCATGGAGTATACAATTGCAATTCTGCGTAAACTCGCTGGCGAAAATTGCCAGTAGTTTTTGCTTTCTTGCCGCAAAAGCAAAGAGTCTTGTGGCACCTTAAATACTTGACAGATTTAATATGGTACCGGCTTCTGTGGACTATAGTCTACTTCGTCAAATGTGTGAGAGGATAGTAATTCGCAGGCGAAGACTGAATGAAATGGATGCAGTGGGGCTGAAAGCCAGTCTGATTGCAAACATGCACCTTTTATTGCTAGTTTTATTTTATTTATTTATTGTATTTATATCCCACCTTTTCCTCCAAGGAGCTCAATATGGCGTACAAGCTTCTTCAACTTCTCAGTACCCACAACAACCCTGTGAGGTAAGTCACCCAGCAAGTTTCACGGTGAGTGGGGATTTGAACCCTGATTCCCCAGGTCTCAGTCCAATACTCTAACCATTACACCACACTAGAGCACAACATTTAGCACTGAGCTAAGTGGTACTTGCTCCCAAGGAAGCATATCGGATTTCAATTTTATTACTACTCTAGAATTTCTTTCAAGTGCAGGCACTCTTTGTTTATAATACTAACAAAGGTCAGATTACCTGCCTAGTTACCATAGTCAGCCTTGTTGGGGGTTTTTTTAAAAGAAAAAACAGAAGCCGTTGTTGTGATATGTAGCAGCTGCCATAATGTAGATCTACAGAACGAAAGTGGAGATGAAGTATTATTATACAGTGTACCTCGGGTTAAGATCTTAATTCATTCTGGAGGTCTGTTCTTAACCTGAGGTACCACTTTAGCTAATGGGGCCTCCCGCTGCTGCTGCACGATTTCTGTTCTCATCCTGAAGCAAAGTTATTAACCCAAGGTACTATTTCTGGGTTAGGTGAGTCTCTAACCTGAAGCGTCTGTAACCCGAGGTACCACTGTACTGAGACATTTGTTCCAAGCCTTTATCAGTGTTCTACACCTGGAGATCAACAGGAAGATATGCCCATTCTGTCTGATTCTGCCATTTTCTGAGTCAGCCTCAGAGCTAATGAAGCAAAAGATATGACCAGCATAATACAATCGATCCAATCTCTGTCTTGCTTGTGCCAGATCAACTGGATTTGCTGGCTGCATTTTCTGCTCTTGATGAGTTGCACCCCATATCATAGCTTAGCCAGAAAGCAAGGTATGGAAATGCAAAACTTAGCAAATACTCATGTTTCCCAGGGATTCTGATCATTCCTGGCAAGGAGATCCAGGAAATGATTGTGTGTGACTGCTCAGCACTTCCTTAAGACTGTCCTTCTACTGTTCTCTACGGGCTAATAAAACAAGGCCAAGATAGATCTGTCTGAAACAATGATTCAGGAAAGTCCCTCTTAATGAGGAAAAGAGAGAGAGAGAGGTCTAGATGTTTTCCAGCAGACGTAAGTTTGGTGCAGGGGAAATTTTACTGTGGAGAATGAGTGGGTACTTAACCCATCCCCCCTGCAGACCTGCCTTTATCTGTGCAATCTCCTACTCACAGCCAGGATGTTTGCCAGAGAAAAGCAGCTGGCAGGGAGGGGTATATTTATTGATATCTCACTTTTTTTACCACATGAGCCCCTAACCGGCGTATAAAGACAACTATATAAAGTAATTATATTATTAATAATCATTTTACCGTTGGGCCCTTATCCACTCTTAATCATAAGGTTCCCGTGTGGGTTCACAGCAGTATAAAAATACAACATTAAAATCAGGGCCAAATGTAAGACTGTAATAACAGAATATGGTCATATCTCAAGAAGCACAAAAGAACTGAGAGTTAAAAAACCACCAGAGGAACACTAAAAGCATGGTACAAACATGAAATGATCCCAGAGCCTGGTGAAATTAGATGGTCTTGACTCCTGACCAAAGGGTTGCCAACTTTTTAATTGTTCCTGTCCTCTTAACAGCAGCCTGACACACAGAAATGTAGCAGTCAATTATTTCCGCATCAATTTATCTCTAGACAATAAAAGTGTCATCTGCTGCATTTCTGCATGTCAAGCTGCTGTTATAGACACAGGTGCAGGGCCAATGAAAGAGCTGGCAACTCTGTTCACTTAGGAGCTTCTTCTTAGATCAGGGGTCAGCAACTATTTTCAGCCGGACCACCGTCCCTCAGACCATGTGGTGGGCCAGACTATATTTTTTTTGGGGGGGGGAGAATGAACACATTCCTATGCCCCACAAATAACCCAGAGATGCATTTTAAATAAAAGGACACATTCTACTCATGTAAAAACACGGTGATTCCTGGACCGCCCATGGGCCAGATTTAGAAGGCAATTGGGCCGCATCTAGCCCATGGGCCTTAGGTTGCCTACCCCTGTCTTAGATGGTGCCCCCTGGACATATGCCTGAAGTGAGGCAACGGCCTTTCCTAGTGCTGCTGTGCCATTCAAGCAACACGGGGACAGATGTGGTCCACTGGAATTGTCCATGATGTTGTGCTGATGCCATCAGCTCTCTATCCACTATCACAGATGAGCATGTTTCCAGGGCAACTTACTCAAAACCTTGGCATCTGAAAACATGGGCTGCTTGAATGTTTCCTAGTTTGCTGTGGTGCCTTTTGTTGTGCCCTTACTTGCGCAATGAAGAAACACACCCCAAGGGACTGCGTTGGTTTGGCCTATCCCTGCAAAATCTACATACCGTTCTTATTTGCAGCATGGCATCTCTGTTCTTTGCTTCTGTGTGTGTGTGTGTGTGTGTGTGTGTGTGAGAGAGAGAGAGAGAGAGAGAGAGAGAGAGAGAGAGAAGTGGGCCGAGGTGAAAACAGCCAAGTGTGTGGCCAAACTTCTGAGCTGGATGCTCACTGAACCTAAAAACAGCAATATGGTATATAGCTTCAGTCTGTAGCATTATGAGATGCTGGTCCTTGAAGGAGACCATTTTATGAACAGTTAAGTGTAGTATCCTGTAGGTTTGGGAAAAATCTTCACCGTGTGAGGAAACCTTGCAGTGGGGCTGCCCTAACATCAGGAAGCCGCAGAAGTCAGGAAAGCTTCAATAGTAGTATTTGTGAATGGTAGAAAATCAACTCAGGATAGCAGCTATCCTGCTATACAGGATAAGATGAAGGCAAGATGAAGGTTCCCACTGAGATATGGAAGGAGTCACACTCAGCAAGGGGAAGGGAGCTTTTGTTATAGACTAGGCATGTCTCTTAAAGGGACGCTGGTGGCACTGTGGTCTAAACCACTGAGCCTAGAGATTGCCGATCAGAAGGTCGGCAGTTCGAATCCCCGCGACAGGGTGAGCTCCCGTTGCTCGGTCCCAGCTTCTGCCAACCTAGCAGTTTGAAAGCACGTGTGCGCTGCTCTGGTTTCGCCAGAAGCTGCTTAGTCATG